TTTCTTCTTGGTATCAGAGCAGGCTCGTTTTTCCCTTTTTTTTCACTTTTTTTCCCATACAGTGTGTATGGAGAACTGAATCGTATGAATAGTTAAAGAAACCTATTTCAGCCCAGTTGTTAGTGGTTTTTGGAGAGAAGGGGACTGGTTTTGTCATCCTCTTGACAGATTCAAGTGTGTTGCCCAAAACCCTAATTTTTTTGGAGAAATCTGATTGCGGGCCCCACAGGGAGTTTGACCTGGGCGCTCAGTGACTGAAGGCCTTCTCATTCTTCTTAAGATCGAATCAAGTAGATTGGTGTTCTGTGAAGTCTACAAGGAGCGGCTGAGTTTTCTCTGTTTCTCCCAGCTTCCGGGTGTGGCACAGGTTATTGGTACGACTGCATAGAGGTTGGCTCACAACACAATTTTTGTTCTGTCTTCATTTGTTGTTATTCGAAGTTGTTTGAAGTCATTTTTGAAGTATTTAAGAAGATGAACTCCTCAGACTTTGAAAACAAGCATGTTGCTGAATCCGGACAAGTTCCGAGAGCCTTTGTAGACTCTCTACTGGCTGTGACCACAGTCAAGCTGGATGGAACTAATTATCTGGCTTGGTCAAAATCAGTAAAAAATTCATATTTGTAGTAGAGGCAAATGGGATTTTATCCGGGAGCAAACCTCCAGAAGATGATCCATCATATGAAAAGTGGATGCAAGAAAATTATACTGTTATTGGATGGCTTGTGAACTCAATGCAACCACAGATTAGTTAGCACTATTTGTGGATGAATTTAGCAAAGGAAATTTGGGATAGTGTTGCTGAAACATATTCCCAAAAATTAAATGTGGCCAGGGTTTACAAGTTGAGAAGTGATGTAAAGAATTTGAGACAGGGGGAGAAACCATTAATTGTATACTTTTCAACACTGAAGTCTTTATGGCAAGAAATAGATTTGATAGAAGCTGTAGCCTGGGACACCACTAAGGATGCTGAGACCTACAGAAAACTAGTTGAGATAAACAGGGTATTTGAGTTCTTGACAGGGCTAAATCCAGAGTACGACATTACAAAGCAAAATATTTTATCCAAGGATAGTGTCTCACTGTCTCAAGCATATGCCTTGGTAAGTAATGAAGAAAGCAGAAGACTTGTCCCGGTCCAAGGGGTTGGTCTAAATGATCACTTTGCTAATATGGGAGAGAAACCCAAGGGGGTTGCAGGGACTCCAAGTAGCTTAGGGAAGAAAGAGATTATCTGTGAGTACTGCAAAAAGTCAAAACACACYAAAGACAAGTGCTGGAAATTGCATCCTGAGCTCCTACCACTTCGGTTTCAAAAGAAGTCTGATAATATAAAGGCAGGGAGTGCCAATGTTGCTGTTAGTCCAGATAGTGATAGATACCAAACTGAAGAGATGACGGCTAGTGAGCAGTTAGCAGCTATGAAGGCAGAATATGAGAAGTTTGGGAGGATGATCAATCACCTAGGGGTGTGACCTCTTCTTCCAACCCTCCAGGAAATTCAACATCTTCTGCATTTGTTCATTCAGGTATACAGGCTTCTGCCAATCATGCAACTATTTCAGGTAATCGTAGGATCCCTTGGATTATTGATTCTGGTACTTTTGATCATATGACCAGCCTTTCTACTTTGTTTGTTTCATATGATTTACTTCCTGGACGTGACAAAATCGCCCTAGCCGATGGCTCTCTTGCCCCTATCTCCGACAAGGGAACCATCAAGGCTACAGACTCCTTGGTTATTCCTTCTGCT